TAGTGGATCATAAATTGAACATGAGACAATAATGTGATGCAGCTGCAAAAAAGGCTACTATAATTCTGGGGTGTATTAACAGGAGTGTAGTATTTAAGACACAGGAGAGAATTGTCCCACCCTATTTGGCACTGGTGAAGCTTCAGTTCTGGGCACTAAGCTTTAGGAAAGATGTGGACAAACTGGAGAGAGTTAAAAGGAGAGCAACAAAATGATAAGAGGTTTAGAACACTGGGCATATTTCATCTTGAGAAAAGAAGAGTGAGGGGACCTGCTAAGAGTCTTCAAATATGTTAAGGGCTGTTATAAAAAAGGCGGTGACCAATTGTTCTCCATGTGCACTGAAGGTGGGACAAGAAGTAATGGGACTTTATCTGCAGCAAGGGAGATTTAGGCTAGTTATTAGGGAAAACTTTCTAACTATGTTTAGCAAAGTACTGGAACATGTTAAGGTAGGTTGTGGAACCTCTATCATGGCAGGTTTTTAAGAACAGGTTAGACAAAACACCTGTCAGGAGGGTCTAGGTTTACAGGATACAGCAAGGGAGGTATTGGACAACCTCTTGAGATCAGTCCAACCCTACATTTCTCTGATTTTATGAGGCTGTAACATACTCTCAGTTTTGTGCACTTCTGTGCCTTTTCACAGACTCCTCATTAAAAGATGACTGACTGAAGAACAAAAACTGGTTTTTGGTGGTGTTAAAAAATGAACTTTCCACATGAGCCCATGAAATTTTGGTCGCAAAACAGGTTAGAGTGGAAATTCTATGACAACTTGGAAAAATCTCTTCAGTGCAAATCTGTAAGAGTAAGTTACCACCACATCCAGGAGCATCTAATACAGGCTAGCACTTGTTAACAGATGCATACTTTCTGCTTGTTGACCACTTACTGGATTAAATGATGCATCAGCTACACAATTAATGTCTAAAAAGTGCTTTGAGATCTTTGGATGAGAAGGTGCTGTAAAACTACTAAGTATTATATCAGAAAGGAAATTAAGAATACAACCGTGATATGTTAAGGATATTATCTGAGTTTATACAAGCAAGGACATTTTTAACCGGGAGAAATTCTGGGCCAGATCATGCCCCTGAAATCCATGCCTGGTGATGGGTACCAACTGCACATCCTCCACAACATACATGAAAGGCGGGGCATCAGTCACCTCCACTATGTGCTGTTTCACCACTTCCCAGGAGCCCTAGAATAGTCCTGGGGGAGGGGGTCTGAGATCAATGTGGTGGCTGGTCTGTATACACACCCTTTCCCTCTCCTCCCCACCTCCCCACTTTCTCCTCCTCAAACCCCATGGAGAAATCTTAATACAGTCCCTGCTTTGTTATATAGTCAAAGAAGGGATTCCAGATGCTGCTGTCAGCAGAGGAAGCAAGCAGAGCTTCACTGTCAGTGAGTGAGGAAAAACCACAGAAGAGGCCTTGAAGCTGGTGTGAAGGCATCAGGCCTCCTCCACACAGACGACTCTGGTTTCCTAAGCGATCCACAGTGTTCGCTGGCCAAAATTACTGCATTTCTCTTGGTGATGGGCGGGGAAATCCTGCTTCTTTCCATAACAGAACAATGTGAGAAAGCTCAGCAAGTTTCCTTCTCCAGGGCCCAATCCTTAATTAATTTATAGGGCTGTCAATTAATCGCAGTTAACTTACACAATTAACTCAAAAAAATTAATTGTGATAAAAAAATTAATCACAATTAATCACAGTTTTAATCACACTGTTAAACAATAGAATACCAATTGAAATTTATTAAATATTTTGGATGTTTTTCTACATTTTCATATGTATTGTATTCGGTGTTGTAATTGAAATCAAAGTGTATATTTTTTATTACAAATATTTGCAGTGTAAAAATTATAAACAAAAGAAATAGTATTTTTCAATTCACCTCATACAAGTACTGTAGTGCGATCTCTTTACTGGGAAAATGCAACTTACAAATGTAGTTTTGTTGTTGTTACATAACTGCACTCAAAAACAAACAATGTTAAAACTTCAGAACCTACAAGTCCACTCAGTCCTACTTCTTGTTCAGCCAATCCCTAAGACAAACAAGTTTGTTTACATTTACAGAGATAATGCTGCCCTCTTCTTATTTACGTCACCAGAAAGTGAGAACAGGTGTTTGCATGGCACTTTAAGCCAGCATTGCAAGGTATTTATGTGCCAGATATGGTAAACATTCATATGCCCCTTCATTCTTCGGCCACCATTCCAGAGGACATGCTTCCATGCTGATGATGCCTGTTAAACTTAATTAAACCCCTTTTTTTTGTGTGTGTATGTGACTGAACTCCTTGGGGGAGAATTGTGTGTCCCCTGCTCTGTTTTACCTGCATTCTGCCATATATTTCATGTTATAGCAGTCTCGGATGATGACCCAGCACATGTTCATTTTAAGATCACTTTCACTGCAGATTTGACAAAAACGGAAAGAAGGTATCAATGTGAGATTTCTAAAGATAGCTACAGCACTCGAGCCAAGGTTTAAGAATCTTAAATGCCTTCCAAAATCTGAGAGGGACGAGGAGTGGAGCATGCTTTCAGAAGTCTTAAAAGAGCAACACTCAGATGCAGAAACTACAGAACCCGAACCACCAAAATAAATAAATAAATAAATAAATTAAAAAAAAAAAAATCAACCTTCTGCTGGTGGCATCTGACTCAGATAATGAAAATGAGTGTGCGTTGGTCCACACTGCTTTGGATTTTTATCAAGCACAACCCGTCATCAGCATGGACGCATGTCCCCTGGAATGGTGGTTGAAGCATGAAGAGACATATGAATCTTTAGCGCATCTGGCATGTAAATATCTTGTGATGCCGGCTACAACAGTGTCATGAGAATGCGTGTTCTTGCTTTCAGGTGACACTGTAAACAAGAAGCGGGTAGCATTATCTCCTGCAAATGTAAACAACCTTGTTTATCTGAGCGATTGCCTGACCCAAGAAGTAGGGCTGAGTGGACTTTGTAGGCTCTAAAGTTTTATATTTTATTTTTGCATGCACTTATTTTTGTACATTATTCTACATTTGTAAGTTCAACTTTCATGTTAAGAGATTGTGCTACAGTACTTGTATTAGATGAATTGAAAAATACTATTTCTTTTGTTTTTTTAGAGTGCAAATACTTGTAATCAAAAATATAAAGGGAGCACTGTACACTTTGTATTTGGTGTTGTAATTGAAATCAATATATTTGAAAACATAGAAAACATCCAAAAATATTTAAATAAATGGTATTATATTCTTGTTTAACAGTGTGATTAATTTTTTAAATCGCTTGATAGCTCTATTAATTTATTTTCAGTAGTGCCCATAACATGCAAGATGCTTTCCAAACCGAAGTTCACTTTTTGGCCATCCATCCTTGACTTACCACAACATGCCTAAGAAGTTACTGACAGGATCATTAAATAGTGGGTGATTTTATTGTGTATCATATACATCTAGGGACAGTTTGAGCCTCACTTTTGAGCTGTCAAGTCAGAGCTTCAACCACAGTTGAACATTTATCTACTTTGTGATGTAAGGCTAATTACATTTTCATTGAAGATCTTGATAAGCCTGGACTGGAACCCTGAATCTGAACACATCTAAACTCTGGGAAAAGTTGGATCTAGATCTGAATATTATAGTTCAGCCCCCTAGGCATAGTAGTAATTATAGATTTTCATAGATTCATAGATTCTAGGACTGGAAGGGACCTCGAGAGGTCATCGAGTCCAGTCCCCTGCCCTCATGGCAGGACCAAATACCGTCTAGACCATCCCGGATAGACATTTATCTAACCTACTCTTAAATATCTCCAGAGATGGAGATTCCACAACCTCCTTAGGCAATTTATTCCAATGTTTAACCACCCTGACAGTTAGGAACTTTTTCGTAATGTCCAACCTAAACCTCCCTTGCTGCAGTTTAAGCCCATTGCTTCTTGTTCTATCCTTAGAGGCTAAGGTGAACAAGTTTTCTCCCTCCTCCTTATGACACCCTTTTAGATACCTGAAAACTGCTATCATGTCCCCTCTCAGTCTTCTCTTTTCTAAACTAAACCAACCCAATAGTTAAGGCTGCTCAGGTGTTTTTGCTTTAAATGGTCATTTTCAGAGCCTTTACAGCTTCAAACTTGCACCTTCTTGGCTGAAATTTGGCAAGTTTGTTGTCAATTTGACAGCAAATAAGTTTGAAAAGCCTGATTACATTTGAGTTACAGTACACTTCCATTTATCCAAATGGCCTGGGGGACAGCCAAAGTGTTTGGAGAACCAGGTGTTTGGATATACAGAAGTGCTATTTTGAGCTGCAGTGTCACGGATATAGAAATCCTAGTTATCCGAATCCAGTGTGTCCCCCAGATCTCTCTATTAGTTAATTACTTACTAATACCATCTCAATTAACTAAAACCTCTCAGAGAGTCTGTTATCACTAACAAACAGCTTTGTATTAATAAATATTACATTATACACCTCTACCCGGATATAATGCTGTCCTCGGGAACCAAAAAAAATCTTACCGCATTATATCGAACTTGCTTTGATCCACCGGAGTACACAGCCCCGCCCCCCCCCCGGAGCACTGCTTTACCGCATTATATCCGAATTTGTGTTATATCGGGTCAGGTTATATCGGGGTAGAGGTGTATTAATGTAATGCTAAGACAATAATTGAGAAGTTATTAACTAACACAGGGCTAAAAGGGGGCATACTGTGGATTCCAATAACTACAATTTTTGGATAAATAGCTCTTGGAATGGGAAACTGGAGTGTAAATTATTTATATGTACTTTTGGTGCACCAGCAGCCAATGGAAACCCGGTATAAGTGACTCCCTCACTCAGATCTCTCTTGCCTTTTCAGATAAGTGTTCTGCACCTGCTACAGCCTCTGGATCAATTTTGAGAGATGTCCATCCAGAAAAACATTAGCGTGGCCTACCATCTTTAAATCTAAACCAACGATTTCTCATTAAAGTTACTTACATTGTTTTCCTGGTTCTTGTTATTCTTAAGGAGAGTGATAACACAGTTATGAATGAAGAAAGCAAGCGTCAGGACCCCTGTGAGCTGAGGAAACTGAATTCTAAACTCTAGGAAAACAAAAGAAAATAAAAATTAGTTTTTATATTTGTATCAGGGAAATAAAAAACAGCTGCCAAAGTGACGCTCAAAATTTATTTCTAGATGTTAGGAATTGCTATTCTGGACCAGGCCAGTCCATTTGGTTCAGTATCTTGTCTCAGACAGCAACCAGTTCCAGATGCTTCAGCAGAAAGAGCAAAAAACCTGCTCTCAGGGAAAGTTTCTTACTAACTCCCAGTACTTAGAGGTCTTGTTATTCCATGATTTGAACAATATAAACTTTTCTACTTCTCAACACCGCAGTTCATGAACATCCCAATGCCTTGATGGGGCAACCAGTTTTGGAGAGACTGCGTGTGTACCAGCAGGCGGAGGAGGACAGGAAAAGCTTTTTGCTGTGTGATAGACTCTTGTTGACTAATCCAGAGAGCATCACCAGAGTTGAACTCTGAGGAGACTTCTGACCCTCACTTTAGGAGGACAAGGGACATAGCTGTTGCTGTTTACAAGACAGGGGATTCAAATGATTGCTTACAAAATAAAGGATTAGGAAAGCCTCAAGATACTACCTCGACTGCCCTTTAAATGGGAGAATATAAGGGGCACCAGCCAACCAATGTCTTTACCCCCCCGAAAAACAGCACTGCTGCTTTTAGCGTCATTCTCAGAAGTGTTCTGTCCAGTAGACAGTACTTCTGGGAATGCTGCTACTAGGCTAGGAGTGCTAATTTGCTTATGCTAGAACATCATTAAGCACCATTTTGGCAGGTAGTACCAAAGTACTAGCAAAGAGATAGCTGGTCTAAAGTAATAGAGCACTTGCGTATCTCTAGGGCGTTATGCTGGTTTCACGGTCTTTCCTTAATATCTTATTAGCATTGAAGCAGTACCAATGCTAACTGAAAGAGAGAGAAAAAAAAAAAAAAAAGTCTTACTTTAGGCTTAGTTCCCACTAATAATCACTCATTACTCGGTGTTGTATCCTTCCCACCATAGTGACATCAACTGAAGCTATGCTGTATATATCATAAATGCATGTTCTATGTATGTAAGTCTGGCTATATCTTTGGCATACTGGTCATCTTGAAGACATAATTATAACAGCTTATGATGACATACAGCACTATGCGTTGCTGTAAATTAATCTATGCCAAGGTTGCTTAATAGAACATTGGGTCTGAACCTCAAGTACACTTGAAACCAGTCTAGTTTCACATTACTGCTGGTTAGCAGCCCTGGGGTATGTTTGCTTGAGTTTTGTTCACAGCCAAACTATTCAGCAAGCTTGGAGATTAACTTGTTTTTACCTGTTTGGATATTCATGAATACTCTTAACATTCTGAGACGGTTTGCTGGTGCAATTCAAAAATCAAAGAACGTTGTCAGACAAAGTTCAGTTTGGGGTTTCTCGGAGAGAGGGGGCAGAGGGCTGTATTTTAGTTGAGCTCCCTGATACAACTGGATACACCAAACACATTTTTAACCCTAGTCTCTGTGTCTGAGGGTATGTCTATACTACCCGCCGGATCGGCAGGCAGCGATCAATCCAACAGGGGTCGATTTATCGCATTTAGACACGATAAATCCACCCCCAAGAGCTCTCCCGTCGACTCCTGTACTCCACTGCCGCAAGAGGCGCAGGCAGAGTCGACGGGGGAGTGGCAGCAGTCAACTCACCACAGCGAAGACACCGCAGTGAGTAGATCTAAGTATGTCGACTTCAGCTACGTTATTCATGTAGCTGAAGTTGCTTAACTCGATCCCCCCCTCTAGCGTAGACTAGGCCAGAGTCTGTCAAGAAGCAGCCAACCGCAGCACTTCATCATTCTTAATTTCATTAGCTAGCTGGAAACCAACTATTGCTGGAAACCAACCAACCATTAGCTGGAAACCAATTATTTTAGGACTTAATTTAATCACACATATTACTATAGGATTTTGGCAAGGGAAAAGCTCCCAGGCTCCAAGTCTTAACTTCTGGATAGCAGTCCACCCTGTCTATACAAGTCATTCATCAGAGCAAAGACATAACTTTTTTGTCTCATTAACTGACTCTGAGTGGCCCAGGCTAGCAAGTTACTCTGAATTCCATCTGTCAGTGGAAATAATGCCATACCATCAGAGGTATGTCATTATTATAGAGGTCAGGCATCAAATGCTTTGAGTGGAAATTGTTACAATAAAACTAACTGGCTTGTCCCTATAATACTCCTCTTCATTCCCAGTCCTCTCCCTCTGCTGCATTTAGAGAGAAGGTTAGATAGCACGGACATGACACTGTGTGTTGATGATCTCAGAATGTCGAGATCAGTAGCCCAGTAGGATCCTTAGGGACTTACCAACCACATTCTTGCACTTCATACACCCTAAAAGGCATATGTTCTGGTCTTGTGTACAGCTGTACCCAGCAAGAATTTACTGCCTCTGAGATGAGTGTTGTAATCAGAAAGGAAAGTTATTTTGGCTGAGATAAAGGAACTACTTTATCCATATTCCCCCTTGTTGCCTGGTACTGAGGTCCTCTTTCCAAGAACAGGCACCACTGACCTCCATTCATTAAAACGTTAAAAAACAAAAATCAGAGGTTAGGTACTAGCTGGAAAAAACTGATTTTAGAGCAGTATTCTTAGCCAGTAATACACAGAACACATTGGCCAGAATGTCTAGTTTCTCACTTTCTACACCAGTGCAATTTGAGTTTAACAAAACTAAATCCACACACAACCCTCCCTCCTCCCCCCAAAAACACCACCACACAACTGTGGCTGTGTAATATCTACATAATACTGTGCTGTGGTAGAGAAGTATATTCAGATAATGTCTATCTTATTTCAGCTTTCTTTGCAAGACTCATCACCTCCAGCAATGAGTCAGCTAACGTAGCTGTAAAAACATTCCAGAGAAATTTGTAGCAGATTTCATGGAAATACAGCCCATGGTGTCAAGCTGTCCTTCGGGGTAATGGCAAACATTTCCTTATGTTACAGTAAAATTAATATAGTGATTTTATTTGGCTTTTACTGGCAAGTATGTATTTTCTAGAAGCATTTGCCTATTCATTAATCCCCCTCTATGCAGAGTGTCTCACCACAGATAGATAAATTGGTTCACTAGCTCAGGGCCTGTTGGGTGATAGATGCCCAATAACCTAGAGCTACAAAAGACTCCCACTTCTACCTGTAGCTGCCCAGGAGACCTCACCCCGGTCAGAGATAGGCCAAGCTACACACACACAAATTGCACAGGCCATAGAACTTGCCCAAAATAAACTTCTAGAGCAGATTGTGATTTAAGAACTGACCGTGATGGAGAATCAACCACAACTGTTGGTAAATTGTTCCAATGGATTAATTACTCACTGTTAAAAACGTACACCTTATTTCTAACTTGGATCACGTTATACCCTTTCTCTGCTAGTCTGAAAACCCCCAATAGCAAATATTTGTTCCCATTGTAGGTACTTATACACTGTAATCAAGTCACACCTTCTCTTTGTTAAACTAAATAGACAGAGCACCTGGAGTCTATCACTATAAGGAATGTTTTCTAAGCCTTTAATAATTCTCATGGCTCTTCTCTAAACCCTCTCCAATTTATCAACCTTCTTCCTTATTTGTGGACACCTGAACTGGACACAGTATTTCAGCAGCAGTCACACCAATGCCAAATACATAGAAAAAATAAACCTCTGTCTACTACTACCTGAGATTCCCCTGTTTATGCAGCCATGATCACATTAGCCCTTTTGGCCACAGCATTGCACAAGGAGCTTGTGTTCAGTTGACTATCCACCACGACCCCAAAAATCTTGTTCAAAGTCACTGCTTTCCAGGAGAGAGTCCCCCATTTTGTAAATATGGCCTACATTTCCCCCCCCCAGATGTATACATTTAGCCATATTAAATGCATAGCGTTTGCTTGCACTCAGCATATGAAGCAATCCAGATAGCTCTGTATTAGTGACCTGTCTTCATTATTTACCACTTCCCCAATTTGTGTCAAGTGAAAACTTTATCAGTGACATTTTCACATTTTCTTCCAGGTCATTGATAAAAATGTTAAATAGCATAGGGACAAGAACAGATCCCTGCGGGAGCCTACTAAAAACATACCTGCTCAAGGATGATTCTCCATTTGCAATTACATTTTGAGACCCATCAGCCAACTTTTAATCCATTTAATATATGACAGGCTAGTTTTATACTGTTCTAGTTTGTTTGTTTGTTTTAATCAAAATGTCATGTGGTATCAAGTCAAATGCCTTGTAGAAGTCTAAGTATATTACATCAGCATGGTTAGCTTTATCAATGAAACTTTATTTTTTTGAGATTACAAAAGAGATCAAGTTAGTTTGACAGGATCTGTTTTCCATAAAGTCATGTTAATTGGCATCAATTACATTACCCTCCTTTAATTCTTTATTAATCGAGTCCTGTATCAACCATTCTAATATCTTGCCAGGGACCTATGTGAGACTGTCAGGCCCATAGTTAACCAGGTCATCCCATTTATGCTTTTTAAATATTGGCAAAACAGTTTTCTATCAGACTTCTGGAACTCCCCAGTGTTCCAAGACTTATTGACAAATCAACATTAATGGTCCAGAGAGATCTTAAGCAATTCTTTTAAAACCCTTGGACACAAATTCTCTGGACCTGCTGATTTAAAAATGTCTAACTTCAGTAGCTGCTATTTAGCATCCTCCTGATAAACTAGTGGAATGAAAAGAGTATAATCATCATATATGACATGTCTACATCATCTGTTGATTTTCCAAATACAGAACAGAAATATTTATTGAACACTTCTGCCTTTTCTGCAATATTATTGATAATTCTGTAATTTACATCTAGTAATGGACCAATACCATTGTTAAAATTATTTTTGTTCCTAACATACTTAAGCACTTCTTATTGTCCATAACTTTGCTGGCCATAGATTTCTCCACGTGTCCCTTATCAATTTTCTACAATTCCTAGCTTCTAATTTATATTCATTATCAGCTTCCCCTTTCTTCCATTTCTTCTATATTTTTGTAGCTGCCCTCACTTCCCCTCTAAACCAGGTTTTTAAAAACAAAAAACAAAAACAATACACAGTCTTCTTCCTCGATTGTGGCTTTTTGACTGATCTCTAACTGATCCTAATCAACATCCTAATGGAAGAAGTGAGTGACACTCTGTGGCAATGGTGGCCATTTAACTTCACTGATTAGACAGATTCCACCACTGCCCATCATTTGTGGAACTATCCAACTTCTAGTCCTCTTATTTTACTATATCCATTTAAAATTTCTTCACATATTTGATTATCCTAGTTGTCTTCTTCAGGTCATTGTTCTTTGTCATAACAATAGCCAGTGTCACATTTGTAAAGCTGTTGTTGTAACTTGTATCATGACTGGGAAACCTACATTTTTTTTTTCCCCTTCTGAAAAGCAGTACATAGAAGGAAGATGGAAACCCACAAGGGAAACCAAACGTACCAGATGGATGAATGTCCCCGAGCTTCACATTATGCTTGAGTTAGTAATTAAATATTAATGAAGGGCAAAATTACTCCCGCATTCCCAGATGAAGTCAGAACGATCTAATTAGATACTATAGGCATACATCTCTTCAGAGCTCCAATGTAATGCTGCCTCTTGTAAAGAGAGGGATGACTTTAGTGTCTCTTCCCAAGTCTTCCACAAGAAAGAAAAGAAACAGAAGTTGTTTTTCCTCTTTTATGGATTATCCTCCTACCCAATTCATCCAGTGGCAATAAGTTCTTGTGTTTGTGACACCCCATATATTGACCTGTAATATCCCTTAAACAATTGGCAGCCAATGCTGCCAAGAAGAGACAGAGAAAGGTATATGAAAGTTAATGGGAGTTTAAAAATACAGGGCTAAATTATGGGTTGAGGACCATGAGAAAGTGGGGAGTAGGTGTGAGGTGCACTTGGACACATGGTGATGGGTACCATATAAGAACTTAGTGGAGTACTTGCTACACTTTATAAATCAATCAAACTCTCTTAGGTTTGTCTATCGTGAGCACTACTTTAATAGTGAAACATGGAAGAAGGTGCCAGCACACAGAAGAAGGTGCCAGGAGGGATAGGATCATGGCCTCACCTTGCCTATCCACAGACAAGTTTTCTCTGAGCTGGTGCATAATGGAGGTACCAGGCAATGACTAGCCTTCAACCCTTGTGTTTCTGGACCCCAGGCAGCAATGTTATTACTATCTCCTGTGTAGGAGAACTGGGAAGGAGGAAGAAAGGGGTTCCCTGTACCTTTGTCTCTCAACTTTCAGGAGGCACTAATAAGCGCAGTCTTCCTCAGACCCTCTGGAGGCATTAGCAGAAAACAACATTTACTTACCTATCGTACCTCACAGGGATGTTGGGAGGATAAAAATTCAAGATTAAAAGCACAATATCCATGCTTAAAATTAATCACTGTGTTTAATTTTAGGTATCTTACCTGGTACAAAAAATTCATTAGCTGTAAACCAGTTGAATTCTAAATGGAATCCCAGATGTGCAGCCTTCAGAGTAACAAGAAAAACTAAGTAGACAACTGAAACGGTACCTACACACACAAGAGAGACAATCATCCATCATCATCAGGATAAATTGTGATAGAAAATTATTTATGCTCCATTCTATATTGGTCCCTCTAGTTAGTTGCCACCAGCCCAAAGAAATTGGGGTGCTAGTCATCCTGAAGACTGCAGGACAATCCCAATTTTTTAACACTAGTTCTGTGATCCCAAATCCCCTTTTTATCTTGTAAAGAGGGAGCGAGCTGCTGCACTACATCCATTTATTTAAATTTTAATGGAGTCTAGTTCCCTTGATAGGTGCTGGATTAATAACCCAGGAAACTAATGTCCCCAATTATCCACAGCATTGGTTGAGCATGGGCAGCAGAAGAATGAGATTCCTAACCAACTTCCTCTAGCATACATGCAGGGACTATCACTAGTAGTGCAAAGTAGCTTTCTCCATACCCATTTAGTTGTTGGCCTTTTGGGTGAAATAATTCACCAAGATGCCAATTAGTGCAAACTGCAACTGTGAACTCTCCAGTAAGACCAGGATTGACACTAGCTGCAGTGACCTTTGGTCACTTCTGACTTATACCTCATCTGAACTAGCAACCTAGACATGACAGGATCCACATTTTATTATATCATTCCCAGGAGTCAGACACTTTCGGCTACACTTCTCTAGTTACAAACTATAGAAATGATGTACTACACCCACAATTATGCTCCCATGGACACACAGAGGATCACATATAAAATCAGAGATGGGTAATAATACCAAGTCTACAGCCTTAGTCTGACTACAACTGCATGAGAGTGTGCAGTTCTGGCCCCCATAGTTTAAGAATAGAGGGAAACAAACCCAGAAAATTATAAAGAAGGGCAATAATAATTATTCAGAGACAAAGATAATCTGTCCATTTATTTTAATGCTATAAAATTGGGACGTACCCTGATGCTACAGTGATGAGCATCAGAGAAAAGCTTATAAATATATGTGGGGGGAAAAGTGCAGGATTTATATAGTTTAGAAAACAGGCCGGGGGGGGGGGGGGGGACAGGATTTCAGTTGAGAACTATCTTCAAGATAACAAAATAAATGAAGGGAATTATTCATTCACTGACTATAAAGAACAAGTAGTTCTGAACATGAAGATCAATTTAAAGCTAACATACTGCACAATCTCCTAATGTTCTAAACTGGCCTAGGTTTCTGTATGTCTAAAGACATAAATAAATAAACAAACTGTCAATTTGCTGATTTATAAACATTCAAAAATTAAAATCCACAGCAATTTTCTTCAGCCTTAGCTTGTAGCTCTCCTTGGGGCTTAAAAATAAAGCCAACACTGAAAGGCTGATGCATTACACCTGAATTATTATATGAAACTGCTTATAAAGCATTACGGTTTAGTATTCTATATCGTATTAGTTTTGAATTGTTAAATAATTAACAATGAGATAATGGAAGACTATTTCCAGGCATGAACACAAGAGAGGGTTGAGATTCTGCTGAATGCTGTTGTGCGGATATTATTTTCTATGTAAAACACTAATAAGAACAGTATATTTAACCACTTAATATTTACTCTAAATACAATGAAACCTATTTAAAGGGTTACCCAAGGGAGCAGCAATACCCAACTCCCTTGCAGAGGCTGATCATTCACTAAAGGTCAAACAAACAAAACAGTACTGGAAACCTTGGAGATATTTCAAAGAGTTTGCTTAAGACAAGGAGTTGGCCACTGGAGGTGGGGTCATTACTACAGGTTTCGCTGTATTTGCTATGTATTTTATCAATAATAAACGAACAATCCAGGAATGTTATTACCTACCTAGGATGTTAAACTTGGCAAAGAAAGAGGGAGACTTAAGATTTAGAAGGGGCAGAACAACAACAATCAGATAAAATGGTACAGTTCGTGATTTGCTCCACCACTCCTCAAACAGCTCAAAACCTGTGTTGTTGTTGTTGACAAAAGGAAACAGCCCACTTTTGTTGCCCGGTTGATCCTCATTGGCAGTACCTGGACAGATGACTGTAAGAACAAACAAACAGGGCTTTGTTTACACAAAAGCTATGCAATGAATCAACAGATTCAGTACCTAAATCTCCCAGGGAGTAAGTTTACCACTGGGAGCCTAGGAACACTCAGAAGCACCACTCTGGCAGCTCAGCTGCTGCTCCTCTGCTTGCCTCCATCCATTAAGGCCCACCACTAAGTCTACATTATGCTTGGAGCTGGAGGTGTGATTCCCAGCTTGAACAGAACAGATTTGTGCTAGGGCACTAAAAACAGTAGCGTAGCCCCTATAGCATGTGCAGCAGCAAGGAGTGGCACAGGCTAACTATCCTGAGCCTAAACCCACTGGACTTCGTAGGGGTTTACTTGGAGCAGTTGGCCTGTGCTGCCACTGCCCGTGATATCATGGCTACACTACTATTTTTAGCATACTAGCTTGATGAGAACTAGTGTGAGCATGTCTATGTGAGCTGGGAATCACTCCCCCAGCTTCAAGTGCAGACATAGCCTAAGTTTTCACTGCTGGGCCATACCCTGTTCTCCCTGCACTCTCAGCTGGTACCACCTTCACTTCAGCACTGAGTGCAGAGAGTTGACATAACTTAACAGCTGAATGTGAGGATATACAATACCAACTAGGCCTGCAGTCTGAGCGGACTGCTGCACAGGATCAACATCCAAGGGCATGGATGCAGGACATGCGTGCATAGCTGTCTGTATGCATGTAGCTGTGTTTACTCCATTGTGCATACATGTGTGCCTCTGTGTGTGTGTGTGTGTGTGTGTGTGTGTGTGTGTCTGAGCAGCTTGCCTGTGCTGCAGTGCATGCACACATAGCGGTGTCTGCAAAACGGCCTCTGTGCATATGAGCAAATACATGGCTGAATGCACATCTGAATGCATAAGTGAACATATCTGGCTGTGTGTGTAAGCTGGGTGCATGGGTGCCTGTATTAACAGTAGGGTACACATGGTTTTGTGCACATCTCAGAGCAAATAATCAGTGGCTGTTCTAAAACTCCTGAATTAACAATTTACAGTGTCATATTGTTGGTGTACCAACCACAGCCACCAAACATTAGGGAGGAGGAGACACCTAGAATAGGAGGCCCTTAAAATGTTTACATTTTAACTTATGGAGTGTACTTGGGGCTTTTTGTGGAAAAATGTAAACAGCAGTTCCTGTCTTATATGTTGAAATATGAACTTATCCTAATGTTCTCCTAGTCTCCATTTATACCTTTGTACTTCATAATGCTTTGTACCCTGTTAATCTCTTCCTCCCACGCTGGCAGCATGCCTGCCAGGTTACAATAACCTAAAGACAAAACTCTAGACAGTATTTTGACTTTTCTGAAATTTAAAGCGACAGAGTAATTTTAATTACTGTTTTCTAATTGGTTTTCTCTCCATTGTTTCACAACCCCTTGAAAAATGCTTTTGTCCCTACTGATTTGATCCCTTTCTGTTTAGCAGAAGTATTCAGGGCTGCCAAGTGACATTCAAGCATCTGACAGCCCTGTCCTGCCTGCCTGCAGAAGCTGCAGTTGCACTTTTTGGTCACTGGAGAAGATTGTGGCACATGGCTTCAGGCAGCCTGACAGAACGTCTGCCTCTCCTCTGGCTGCACCTCCTGATGGATCTGAATGGGGAAAGGTGTGGCAATAGCGAGAGAAAGTGCAGGAGCAACCAGGGTGGCAGCAATAGTAATGGGTAACCTGGCTGGTGGGGACTGTAGGTAACGGAGCCCCTGAGTGCCTCAGCCACTTCCCAGATTGACTCCAAGGCCTTCCCCTCCAGCCACCAGTCCCCCCTGAGAGAGACCCCAGTTCCCACCACATGCCTAGTCTGAGCAGCAGAACAAGGTGTTGATTGACTCCCTCACTGCACGGGAATCTGCCTCAGAGATCTCCAGGAAACTCTCATGGAGATACTGGGCAATCTGCTGCCGCAGGTTCTTTGGCAGAGCTGCTTTGTTTCTTGCCCCATTAAGGGTAACTTTCCCGCGCCACTCTGCTGTCACTGTGGGGTGGGACCATTGCTGCACATAGGCAAGCCGTACAAGGGCCAGGGCGGAAGCTGCAGTCTTGGAGAAGACCCTCCCTTGATTCCCTGCTCACCCTCAGCAGCGAGATATCTTCCCTAATGAACACAGCCTGTGGAAAATGTGAGGACAGGAATGATAAGGCACCCCCTACAGTGCTGGCTCTCCCCAAGAGCGACGTGCCCAGTGTACAGTACATTCCTGGAACACTGATTTCCCCTGCCCCTGCGGTTACTCACCATTTTGGGGGTCTTGTGGCTCATGGGTGCTTGCCTAGGGTCAGCCAGTTAGTGACCAGGGCCGGCTCCAGGCACCCAAGCTAATGCTTGGGGCGGCACCTGGAGGGGGGCGGCGCGGCGCTCCGACCGCCGGGGGGAGAGCCAAGCCCCAGCCAGGGCTCGCCGCCCTCTCGCCGCCCTGCCCCCGGCGCTCTAGCTGCCAGGGTGGGGGGGAGAGCCGAGCCCCCGCCGGGCTCGCCGCCCTCCTCCCAAGGCTCCGGCTGCCCTCCCCTCCGGCGCCCTCCCCTCGGCCGCCCCCCCCCCCCCTGGGGCGGCAAAAAAGCCAGAGCCGGCCCTGTTAGTGACAGGTATGTGAATAGTGGCTGTGTTTTAAATCAGTGGTCTGTGTGTTGCAAACAATACTGCTTCTGTAAAATGTTGCATTTTGGCTTTACAGATATGACCTTGGGAGCCCAGCCTCCCTCTTTGTTATCACTGGCTGAACAGAATTAGAAAGTGGCCACTAAGAACTAAAGAGACTTTCTGCATGAGGTCATGATGCACTCTGCGGCCAAAAAAACCCACAAGAATTGAAGGAGTAATGGGACAGTGAGAAGAAAATGCGAAGCGTCAGAACCAAGCCACGGAGTGGCTCTTAAACGTTATGAAGCACCAAGTGGACACGCTCCAGGCGCTACTAGCACTGCAAACTGAGCAGCTCCGCGCCTGCCCTCCCCTGCAGCCACTGTCACAAAACTCTTTCCCAGGTGCCCCACCCCCACCCACACACTCTTATCAACCTCCTGGCTACAGTCTGTACCCGCTGCATTCCACTCCTACCCCGTACTCCCAGTATCCACTGCACTCAACACCCGTTCCTCTGCAGTTTAGCCCTGCTGAAGTACAATACCCACTGCACTGTACTCCAAAGGACAAGACTGCATATGATACCTGGACATACACAAATCTTTAACCATCCCAGGACCCCACCTCCTCCTGGGACCCTCCCTTCCCCAATCCCCCTCACTGCTGATGTGTTTTTTTGTTTGTCTCTCTCTCCTCCAGTTGTTTTTTAATAAAATAATTGTTTTGGTTTGAAAGCTATCTTTATTCCATTAATTGAAAGCAAACAGAGCCTGCAAAGCAGCAGGCAATTTTCTTACACCTTCATAGTGCATCATCTGCACCAATCACAATCACCTCCTAGCATTACAAGCACTGCACTCCTGAGCATAGCAACAAATATTAGTGGCTTTCAGCTTCAAATTGCTGCCTCAAGGCATCCATGATCCTTATGGCCCCACACTGCACCCCTCTAATAACCCTGGTCTCTGGCTGTTCAAATTCAGCCTCCAGGTGCTGAGCCACAGTGGTCCACCCCTGAGTGAAGCTTTCACCCTTCCCTTCAAATATTATGGAGCGGACAGCACACGGCTATAAGGATAGGAATATTGTCATCAGCCAGGTCCAGCCTCCCATATAGGCAGCACCACTGGGCCTTTAAATGGCCAAAAGCACACTTGACAGCCGTTCTGCACTTGCTCAGCCTGTTGTTGAACCGCTCCTTACTGCTGTCAAGGTGCCATGTGTATGGCTTCATAAGCCACAGCATTAAGGGGTAGGCAGGGTCTCTCAGAATCCCAATGAAAATTTCAACTTCCCCTACGGTAATCTTCTGGTCCGGGAAGAAAGTCCCTGCTTGCAGCTTCCTGAACAGGCCGAAAGAGGTGTGCATGATGCACCTTTCCGGGCCAGCTTGTGTTAATGTCCGTGAAATGCCCACAGTGATCCACAAGCGCCTGGAGAACCATTGAGAAATACACCTTCCGATTAATGTACGTGGTGGCTAGGTGGTCTGGTGCCACAATTGGAAAATGTGTGCCATCTATCACCCCTCTACAGTTAGGGAAGCCCATTTGTGCAAAGCCATCCACAATATCATGCACATTGCCCAGAGTCATGGTCTTTCGGAGCAGGATGTGCTTATCAGCCCTGCACACTTCCGTCAACACAAGTCCAACGGTAGACTTTCCCCACTCCAAACTGGTTAGCAACCGATCGGTAGCAGTCTGGAGTAGCCAGCTTCCACAGTGCAATTGCCACGCACTTCTCCAACAGGGCAGCTCTCATTCTCATGTCCTTGCACTGCAAGGCTGGGGCGAGCTCATCACACAGTGGTTTTCCTCATCCGAAAGTTCTGCAGCCTCTGCTCGTCATCCCAGATGTGCATGACTATGTGATACCACCACTCAGTGCTTATTTCCTGAGCCCAACAGCGGTGTTCCACTGTGGTCAGCATCTCTGTGAATGACACAAGCAATCTCTTGTCGTAGCTATTACATGTGGCGAGATCAATGTTGCACTCCTCTTGTCTTTGTAGTTTAGGGAATAACTCCACTGCCACTTGGTCAACTGTGCGGGAACCATTCCTGAAGACCGAAGAGGCAGAGTGTGCAGTACACAAAACCATTGAAAGGTGGTGACAAATGCGGACTGAAGCACAGGGATTGCTGGGATGCAAAGCAATGCATCATGGGGCATTGGGACAGGACCTAGGATCCCCTGTGACACCCTCTGCCTTCCCACAACTCTTAGCGGCAGAAGAGGAAGAGATGCTCTGTGGAATAGCTGTCCAGAGTGCACTGCTGCGAATACTTATGCAAGTGTGAACATGCTATTGTGCAGGCAGCTGACAGTGTGAACACACAACAGCGGTTTCCCTTCAGCACTCTCTGAGCGGCGCTGTAACTTCAGAGTTATGAGCATCAGAGTTATGAACTGACCAGTCAACCACACATCTCATTTGGAAGCTTAAGTATATAATCAGGCAGCAGCAGAGATATTAATAAATAAATACAGTACAGTACTGTGTTAAATGTAAACGACACACACACACCACACACACATTATATATGAAAAAAAAAAAGAAAGCAGCATTTTTCTTCTCCATAGTAAAGTTTCAAAGCTGTACTGTATTAAGTCAATGTTCAGTTGTAAACTTTTGAAAGAACAACCATAACATTCTGTTCAGAGTTACGAACAACCTCCATTCTTGAGGTGTTCATAATTCTGAGGTTCTACTATACCTCACCCACCTGGTCTCTGTAATATCTTTGGACTGACATGGTTACAACAACACTGCATATAATATCCCTTAGAGTTATTTTTATTGTGGAACATAGTACTATTATGCTTTTCTTACCTCTAGTACTCCCATTAGTACCAGGAACAAGATCTGTTATGTTAATGTCATGAACATAATCTGAAAATAAGAAAAACAATCTTACTATGTTTGCTCTACTCCTGCTGTTATCCTGTTCCTTCTCTCTGTAAATTTATGGAACGGAAATGAGAGAGGTAGAATAGAGTTTTGCAGTTTCTCACTAACTCCGAAATGAATAGTCTCAATCCCATCTAAAACACCCGATTATTTCACTTGCAGCTTGATTGTCTATCTCCACAATACTAAAAGTAGCTTTAGATGACATGGGTCATTTACTGGTGTCAGTTCCCATGTACCCATTGAACTTCTCCCATAGCTATGAGAGATAACCCATGATAAACATCATAGCATTGTCTTTTGTATAAGATGCCTTGCTTTACCTCTGAAAAACTCACTCTCATTCACTGAATTAAAGAAGTCTGTAGGGCCAAGTCTGTTTTGTGTATTGACACACACACACACACACACACACACACACACACACACACGGCAAGTAGAAGATGCAACAAAAGTCATCCTTGCTTTGTGATGCTCTTTAAAGAAAGTCTAACTGGAAGTCACTCAAAAGAAAGGCATGCACCTGGAGAATTATAGAACTTTTAGAGAGGTTATAATTATGGTGCCCAAAATTAAATTTCTCTGGTGCTACAAAAAGCTGATTTTAACAATTTGTTCCTGCGTTTCAGTACCTACAATTTTGATTTAAACTAAACTGAAAAGACTTAAACACTGATACTTACTGTATATAAATTTTCCTGTGTTGAACAAGAAGTTGGACATAAGTACCCAGTAAATAACCATGGCTCCAACAAGAGACACCATTGAAAATAAAAGACTGGACCATTGACCAAAGGATCCAAAATAGTACTTGCAAACATCTGGGAATTCCCAGTTTGAGGTATCTATTAAAGCTGAATAAAGACAAAAATACAAAAAAAAAAATTTTTTATAAAGGTGATTAAACATGAGAATACTCTGATTAAGAAAGATTGTGCTGTTTACACAGAACTCTGATTCAAAGTAAAAAAGTCTCCTACTGCTAGATTAATGCCACCAACTTAAAGTACAACACTTGTCAGAGGACAACATTCTGTTCCATAACTTGATTTCTATTACATCAGATGGTTGGTAGAGTTTGACTGAAGGAGTTCAGATGTGGTTAAATTTGCTTAAAAAGAAACAGGTACCTATAAATTAAAAAGAGGTAATATGACAGGTAGAGATGGACCCCAAGCCACAAAGTCTCAATCCAGAACCTAAACTTCCCCAAAGTTCAGGGGCATCCAAATGAGGAGTTTTTGTTTGAGTCCCATATCTAACCAACAGTAAATCAAAGAACTATTCAGACAAACACTGGCAGAAACACGAACAGTAATAAAAAAAAATCATCATTCAGGATCTCAAGATCTCACACTTTACACAAGAACACTGTGTAATGTAACAGATTCTTACGTATCATTGTCCGTGATTTCACAACTCTGTAACAGCAATAAAGTGTCAAGCTGCCCATTAGCAAGATCAAACAGATTCCAGTGGTAAATCCTGCCTGTTTAAGAGGAGAAATACATTTATATTTTTGCACATTAACAATAAATGTTGATGCAAATAGAACAAAAGAACATTGCAAATGTTTTCCATGCAAATATTTTTTTCTAATACACATTGATCTTACCTGTTTTATTCCCCATGGCATACTTAGTATAGATGTGCCCATCATTGTATTCCAGATCATAAATCTGAAGAACACAGAGAATTAAGGAGCATTGTTATTTCATGCCACCTTTTTAGAAACATAAGTTATTAAATTTCAATAGACAATTTCGGGCTACCATACAAGGAAGTATTTAACATACATTGTCACTATGCTGGAGTTTTTGCCATAACCCTCAGTGCAACCATCGATTTTGAAAGCAGTTCCTAATGGACTATACACATAAATTTCTTCTGGAGCTGGAAGTACATGATGAGGAGCAATCTAATAGATGGATAAAACAAGATGTATTAGTAACAAAGAATCTCTGATGTTCCACTTATACTAAGTTGACTACTTACTATAAGAAAAACATGAAACTTTGAATGAAAAGTATATTTTTCAAGCAGATCTGTTCTATTTTTAAAGAAAAATTGATGGCTGAATTAGTCTTCTGTAGAGGAACACAGCATTTGCTCTCATCCACATCACAATCCACCAACTACTTTATGAAAATATTTTCTCAGTGACAGGCTACACAGAGAAAATGCCCTAAGTTATCAGGCTTGGATGCCTAAATTTAGGTACATAGAATTCCATGTTGACAACTTAAATATGTATTTATGAAAGTTCTGGTGACAAAGTATTAAGACTTGGCCAATATTGTAAGACTCAGGATTGTTTGCATATCTTAGTCATATTTTTCACCACCTAAGAAGGCAGTTGTGACTTGTGGTTCTATGTAAACTCAAGCATGCTCAGCCAGGAAGGCCTCATTTAGAAGCAATCCTCAAGGTTTGTTTTAACTGGGGTTTTTCCTTTTTATTTTTCAGCTGTAAATTGCAGAAGTCAGGCACTTACAATACCCACTACACCCTGCATGTCATGTCCATTAATTAATGGCATCTTTAACCCATCTTTTCCTTACCAGTGCCCTATCTGAAGGAGAAGTGAGCTTGCTATAGTAATGAATCCGCTTATTCATTGCTGAGGCTTCATCTGTAACTCTGTGTGTGTCATCATTCACACTGACAATATTTGAAGGCTCTACGTGGAATGGCCTAAAGGGAAAAGGCACAACAAACAACCTTTATCAAACTGTTAACAGAAGAGAAATAAATTAGATATTCAGAAAATGATTTTGTATCACTCAGGAATGGATTACCATCCATATTGCAACTGCTTAATGCACTGCTTTCTAACTGAAAGAAGGGAAGGAGCATACCACAAATGCAATATTTATCTCCTTATATAATCCATATTAAAAGGGAATTGGGCCAAATTCGGATGTGCTAGGTTGCACCCGCATAACAGAGCAGAATGGTGACCAGTATCTAGTTAAAATAATGGACCAAATTGCGTTGGGTTACACTAGCATAAATCCAAAGCTCAATTAAGTTAATACTTGTTCTAGCTTTATACCAGAATTTGGCGCAGTATATTTTTAAAAAGTTGATTTTTAGTCCTCATTTAGTCCTCACTGTTTCCCTTTGAATGGCATTTGATTAATCACTAGGAACACGATTCTCAGGAACAAAAAAATCCCAAGGGACAGATTATGGCCCAGCCCTAAGCAGTCGTGTGGCAGCATACACAATACAGAATAATATCTCCACCTCTCCTTCCAGCATTGGATGTAGAGGTTCCATACCCAGTAGTTCCTGAAACACAGGCACATAAGGAATGGGTGGAGAGGGGTAGGCAGTGGGCTCAGTTCCTTCCTTGGACTGCTTCTTCACTGCCCTTAATACAGGGCTAGATTTACCAGAGATAGACAGAATCTTACCCCAATTATGGTAAAGAAAAATGAGAATTTCTACTTCTGAATCATAGCAATATATAGACACAGTCTGAATGCTTTGTCAAGAACTCTATTTCTATATAGGTACAGGACTCCACTGGCTTAGTAAGACATTAGCCAAAGCCACATGAGGGTTTAGAAATAAAAGTTGTATTACTTGCTTGCAAACCTTACTAAACTGGTATTGCTTCCCTTCACCTGTGCTTTTATTGGCTAAACTCACTAAGATTTACAAACACAACAACAATATTCATATTTGTTCATCCACCTTGCACACACACAAAGCAAAAGTTATAAAAATAAAAAAAAACCCAGCAAATTACAAATAACAACCAAAACAGCTATTACAGATAACAGCAACAGTAAAAACTGAGACAGGAAGAAAATTTTATTTTTCCTGCAATAAGAACCAGGTCTACTTGAATGTGTGGAGTCTGAGCCAAGACACATAAAAAAAGATGGTGGCCAGTTCCCTTTACAGCAGCTCCCAATAACAGGATGATCTCTAAAGGGTTGCATGGTTTTCAACTCCGCCTTCATTCTGGGACACCATTTTCCCTGACCAAGTTCCCATCCTCCTCCCAGCTACAAAATTAAGCATCTATATCACAGCACAAACTTGCATCAGGAGGTTAATAAAGCCTGATCTGGAACTGCAATGCATCTCTGTGACTGGCTGCTAGGAGACACCCGAGAGAGATGGAACTTGCTGCCCAAGCCCTGAATGCCGAGAGAATCATTTCTGTAATACTCCCCATTCTTAACAGCACAAGACAGAAGACAGAAATGCATGTTTTTCTCTGAGCTGATGTAAGCAGATAGGAAAAGCATGGTACTTTGTACAAGTCACAAATAGTTTTTCCATCTGGAAGTATTAAAGTAATACATTATTTCTAGATGAACTTATATAGTCTATACTTTGTTATTTTTGTTCATTTTCTCTCCCTCTTGAAAAAAATGGTTTAATTTATTAGATCCTTTCCCACATCTCATCACTTCTTAATTTTTTTTTTTTCATTTTTAAGTACACCCAATCAAGATTATTTATTTGGACTGTAAAAATATGAAGGGGGAAAATACTGGTTTTATTTTTATCTATACTTCGGACACGAAGGTGTACCTGTATGAATTAAGAAAAAGAAATCCTAACTAAATATATTAGATAGAACACAATCATGAAGTAAAACTGTTGCTGAATTTAGTTAAGTGTGGAAAATGAAGGGTTAACTAGTTCAACATAGGTACAAAAAGGACATATCTATGCACAGATCTCATTTCAAGGCACACTCATTTTAGTTGAGAAGTTATGATACTCTATACATTTTGTCTCCCCGCACTTCTAATGTAAATAACTTTCAACAACAAAAGCAAGATTTGTGAAACTAAGGTTAAAGTTATTCATAATAAAGGGATGAAACCCAGTGTCTTTTTTTAAATGACCTGTATGAATAATTTGTTTCTCTTTCTCATTTGGGTTTTTGTCACATGCTGCTTTCCACATATGGGACATGGTAGCATGAGAGGTGTACATCTAATTATACCTTACTCAGACTGAATGCACAGTATAAAGATCTAATGAGGTCTAGCTTCTTCTGCCCCACCTGGAATTAATATTGTTGGCACATCTCCTCTGTTGTTCCTGTGGGAAAGCTACACTAAAGAAGTGAGGCTTACACTCCACTTCCATGTGGAGAGATCTGTGGTAGTTTTTGCCTCTTCTGGCATGGTGCTCAATAATCTTGGACCAGCTGCCATGAAAGTTCTCCCCTTAGCTATGTGGCACTAAGCTGTTGAAGGAGATCAGGTTCTGAGACAGAGCAGCTTGGGCCAATACAGTAGACCAGTAATTCTCAAACTTTTTATTCCCCCCCAAGGGCCACTTGAAAATTGCTGAGGGTCTCGGCGGACCACTTAATGATCTTTCCAACTGTTTTTTGTACCGTTCGCTAACTATTGTAAAGCACTTTGGATAAAAGTGATATATTTAAAAATAAAAATAAATAAATAAATTAAAAAACCCCCACCAATAATAAACTTTTTTTGTTCTACAAATAAAATCAAACAACTCATTTTAATATCAGTAGCCTTACCTTTCTAATGCAATGGATGTGCCCTCTCCTCCACTGCGGCAGCCCCAGAGTTGGGGCTGGGAAGGAAGGGGGGGGGTGTCTCTCCCTCACTATGGCAGTCCCCGAGCTGGGGCTAGGAAGGAGGGGGGGCTCCCACGCCTTGGGAGCCACTAAGCTGGGCTGGGAAGGAGGGGAGTGTCTCTCCCTCTCTCCCCCCACCAGGGCAGCCCCCGAGCTGGGGCTGGAAAGGGAGAGAGGGTCTCTCCCACTGCGGCAGCCACCGAACTGGGCTGGGAAGGTGGGCGGGGGGGTGGTGTCTTTCCCTCTCTCCTCTACCACAGAGCTGAGGCTGGGAAGGAGGGCTGTCTCTCCCTAGCAGCCACAGCCCTGGAGCTGGGGAAAGTAGCCTCTTTTGCTGGCTGCCATACCCCTGCATGTCCCAAATTCCCTCCACCCCCTCTTCTCACCCCACTGCCCCCTCCCACCTACCCCCATTCACCCCACTGGCCACCAACTCACCTTACATGTGCATCTTCTCCAGGGTCCAGGCACCTAGTTAGTGGAGCCACGTCTGCGCAGCTTCACTAATTAGGCGAGTGGCCCTTCATTCTCTCATGTGCAGCCACCCAGGCATTCGCCTTAGAGGGAACTATCCGTGGATCACCTGAATGGAGCTCACGGACCACTGGTGATCCACAGACCACAGCTTGAGAACCTCTGCCATAGAGCACCTTACAGATGGAGGCCACAGACCATTAATTTGACCAAGTATTCTATAGAGAGCAGAGCATCAGGGAGATGTGCTTTTGGTGGTAACCACCTATAGAATAAGGAGGCTTGGGAACTCCACCAACATAAAGCTCAACAGCTCTATCAGATCACTGAGAAACCTTCACTCTCAGGAGGGAACTCACATGGGGTCACCCAAAAGGCAATAGGAATAAAAAGAGGCATAATGGAGGAAAAATTGGCATGACTATGAGTGTTAATTCAGAGAAACAATAGTGCAGGTGATACCCAAGCACTGAAAGAGTAAATGGAGGGCCAGAAGAGTTCAATGGATCTGCTTTTTTTCAGGACAACAGTACTATTATACTCTACATTTAAATATTAATCCAACTGACAATATTCACTTGGGGCAGAAATTCCACCACAGGGGAACCAGTGTGTTTACCACTGAATGGTAGGTACAGACAGGATGCTGGAACCCCACACTGCAGATTTACATCTCCTGCACACTACAGAACTGTTCTGTGCATGGGACACCAAGGCCACAGCTCACTTGGGTAAATGTAATAGCAAATCCCATGGCCTCGTCCCATTGCATGTCCCACTAGCCATTCTCTCCAATGCACAAGAGCACAGTAAACGTGGAGCTACTGCAGCTCCACTGCCAGGGAACCAAACTGCTTCCTCCCCAGCTTCCTTAGTCGTATTGTGTACTTGGTCCATGGTTAATGCACGGAACCCTTGATACTAATCAGACATGTTTGTATTGTCCAAGATATGATATTTGGAAATAAATAAAATGAAAACTAAGGACTGGGAAATTTCTTGTATTTAAAAAAAAAAAAAAAGAGTCTTCAATACCACTGGTCAGGAGAATTCAGTTGCTGAGCTACATGCATTTTGTGACTAACATTCATAAGGATCACAGGACAACTGAGGCACATATTAATAAAAATATGAATGAAGGACTAAATTTCTAAGACCTACTATATCTCAGGGTTTTACCTTGGCATTTCAGAAATACATCTCTTTCTTTTAGAATGATAATCTCAGATACTACGATGGTCTGCATTAGGTCCAGGAAAAGAAACCCTCTGAAATCTTTCTGGATGGAACTGCCAGAAAGATATACATGCAAAAAGAGTAAGGGAAGTCCCATATATGAATGTAAATGTAGATTAAACATGGATTTTTAATTTATTTATGTGCAAAAGTGTGGCTATAGAAACTGCACCCACAGAAAAGGGCAGAATATGGCATAAATTTGGCTAGCCTAGTTGTGTGCAGAAATCTGCCAGAATTTTCATTATCTTGAAAAACTGGCATATTCTGCTTTTCTGAAAATAGTGATAAGTAATATTTTAGAAGTCCTACAAAATGGAATGCACATTTCAGAACAAGAATTGAAAAGGGGTATGTTTAGGGCCACTCTGTGGACAAGGAGAACATAATATTTCATGTT